CCTGGAAAGTTTGCTGTATGCTCTAATCCTGTGAAATGCTCTCTCCTGTAGAACAGCCATGGAAATTAGGCTACAGTCCATAGTCAGTATGTGGGGTACACTCTATACCCTAAAAAAGTCATTGGTCGCATTGATGGCACACCTCTGAGGAGCTGAGATGCCATCATAAACCTGCCTAGAAATCCAAGGGAAGAAAGAATGTAAAATGTGGAATGCAGAGAGAACATGAGGAAGAAAAAAAAACTGCCAGAACCAGAAACAGTAAGATGCTGATGCCATACTGTAAAATGCTTCAGCATCCTGGTGCTCTGCTCTGCTGACCTGGGCCCAGGGGCATTGGATTCTGTGTAATACCCATTAGCTAATTCTCCATGTGGTATGCAGGCAGTGCAAMTGAAATGGGGGAAAGCATGTGCCATTTCAGCTTGCATCAGCCAGGGTCAGATSCTCTGCCTCAGCAGCGTGCCGAGCACAGCCTTGGGAGGAAGAGCATCTGTGCAGGCTGAGAGTCAGAGAGGGCAACCCCAGCTCCTGCTCCCAGCAGCAGGCTTCTTGCACGCTATTCAAGCAGGCAGAGGATGGAGCTGTGCCAGTGTACATGCTGTACAAAATATTCCCTCGAATCAGGAAGAAGGATTAGATTAGTTGCCTCATCCCTGTCAGAAGGCTATTGGCTCATAAGAGCAGTAATTGTTTCTGTTATCTGTTTTGGGGAGAGTCAAGTTTCTTGTACCAGATATGCATCTATAGGAGTGTGCTGATTATCTCTAGTGTCCTTGCTGCGGTTGTTCATCTTCTTTCTCATTTGGGGAACCTACCAGCAGCGGCTTCTACCCTCTATCATGGCTTTTTCCCATGCTTGCAGGATGTAGTTATGCAGAAAGATTTCAAAACAGACACAAGAGACAACCCAGAGGAGCTCATTTAAATCAAATCCAGTGATTGAAAAATCCCAGTAATTGCTGGGGAGAGAGGAAAATAACAGAATTGTGCTGCTATGTTAAGTACTTTCATCTCACTAGAGGTATRCATTCTGTGGCACTTACTCTATTAAAGATCTCCATTATCCCTTCTTTGCTGCTTTCTGTGTACTTGTCTGTGAGGAGAGGTGCTGTTGATGAGATGTCCTTGTGGAAATAATTAGTTCGAAGTTTTCAAGGGAGGAAGGAGGGAGGGAATCTGGATTTTGCCACACAGAAGGCACTGCAGCACAGTGRAAGAGAGGCTATGGAGTGGGTAGCCAGACTGGCGTCATTTCGAGTCTTCAAAAAAAGGCCTTGAATGACACATGTAATCCTCAGTCCTAATTATGGGAAATTCAACAAAGAGGGTAGGAAGGACTCATCTGAAGGATCTCAATAGGGAATTGAGCAAAAGCAATAGAAATGGTCTTCATGGCCTAGCTTTGAATGCCACACTTTGAGTGCTATGAATAAGATCAGATAATACCACTGAAATGGTATTACATGGTGTAACAGCTGGGAATAGAGATTGTTTGAAATAGGTAAAAGACATGGCTTTGGTAAACCTAAACTGGAAGTATCTGAAAAAATGTTTGTAAAACTATGTAAGATGAATAAAAAAGAAGGATTAATCAGAGCAAGAGAATAAAGAAAACAGGCAACAGCACAAAGATGATTGCAGACAGGGAAGAGTAAGGACCAAAGATAGGACTGGGAAAAATGGAGGAATGAGAAGGAGTAGCATGTTAAAACAGAAATCAYAGGGAAGGTTGCTATGAAAGCAGGGTGAGAGAGAGGAAGATTAAAGTCTGCAAAAGATYCAGGAGGTACAGGGAGGACTCGCTACAAGACATTGCCAGGGACACCTTGTCATTTGTCTGGTAATCTGATCAGAATCGTTGTGAGTAGAGGTGAGGTTTTCTGCCTCTGCTTTCTCTACCGCACAGAGACTTGAAAAGTCATTTTAATGCTACAGTCATCCGTCGTTGGTGAAATCTGGTATCCTTGCCTGCAGTGCTGTATGCCACAGTATCTTCCTTGTGAGGCTTGCTTCATCATGCTACTGCTTCTGTTCATTCTTTTTGATCATTCTGGTTCTCTGTCTTCTAACATGAGGTCTGCTCCTGTGAATCTTGTGCTTTATCTTCCTAATCATTTTTTTGACTTTTCTAATCCATGGATTCACACAGAACTTTTTGCCTTTTACATGGAGACTAAGAGGGAAAAAATGGTTGTCAGTTTCAAAGGAAAAAATAAGAATCCCAGCTTTTAAAAATCATCCTACTTATCACTCACTTATGAACACCACGAAGTTAGACTTGATTAATCTTAWATTACATTTTATACTGTATTTATTCACTTTTTTCCCTGATTGCAAGTAAGTTAGGATCTGAATTTTACCTGATTAAACTTGCATTTCAATATCTGAAAGAAAGCTTTACTATGGTGCAAAAAGAACTACAGTGCAAAGCAGTACATTTCTAAGGCTCATAAATAAGCAGATCTCTGTATAATTATTATTACTGTCATGATTATAATGCAAAAGTCTAGAAAATGTACCATTTTACCCAGTGTGATACTGTACTGGAAAAAAATTAGAAATAGGTTATGTACAAAAGTGAAACTTATTTAATGAGTTTAGGCAAGGGTTTTAGGGGATAAATAATTGGAAAAAGCAGAGAGGTATTTAAGTGCATGAGTAATTTTTCAGTTCTGAATATAAACCAAGTGTCAACAAAGGCTGAGTAGTATTCAATATTATTACTGAAAAATGAATTCAATTTTAACCATCAAGTTTAAATAGCACAAGGAAGGACAGTTCTTAAATCTCATATAGTGTTGGGTTTTGAATTYGTGTTAGCTTTCTGAGATTCTACTTATTTAAATGCTGCCTAATAGGTTTTAACTTCAAGTATCCCTTTCAACAATGAAGGACAAAAAATATGTCTTACATAACAGCCTCTAGGTGACACAGGCCATCAGCTTCCTGGATTTCAAACCTCCTCACTCTTCTGAGAATTCCTTTGGGAATTTCATCTGAAATTTTCGTGCAACAGTCAAAGGCCCCAGGAAACAAAGCTAAAAAGAGTAGTAACAATGTTGGTAACAGCACAGGTATGAGAGAGACAAATCATAGTTGACTGTACAGAATCACAGAGGGGTTGAGGTTGGAAGGCACCTCAGAAAGTCATCTGGTCCAGCCCCCTGCTCAAGCAGGGTCATCTGGTCTATGGGTTCATGCTTGAACTCTGCTCCCAGCACCTGATGACGTGGTTAGCTTAATTAACTCCATTTTATGAGACAAGCAGCCATTCTGTGACCATGCAAGCCATTTGTTCATGCCCCTTCCCTCATTACCAGGCCCTGGAGGTCCTATGAAACAAGCAGACAAACCAATCAGATATCTATTTCCATTCTCTACCAGGCCCCAGCCTGCAATCATTCCTCCCCAGATGGAAAACTTTTCATTTTCCCTTGTTGAACTTTGTGAGTTTCCTCTYTCCCCATTTCTTTGTCAGCAAAACCATGTGGTGCATCAGCTACTGCTCCCAGTTTTTTGTCATCTGCAAACATSCCACAGGCGCATTCTGTTCCATCATCCATGTCTTTAATTAAGTTGTTGGACAGTATTGTCTCCCATTTTGACCCCTGGGGTTTGTGGCACCTATCACAACCCTCTGGACCTGATCCTTCATTCAGTTCTCTGTTTGCCTCAGTCTTCACTCATTTATCTTATACTYTGTCAGCTTGTCTATGATGATGAAACAGGAGACAGCATTGAAGCCTTTTCTGAAGTCAAGGTACACAAAACCCATCTCTTTCCTCTTGACCAACAAGCAAGTCATGCTATTGGAGATGGCCAACCAGGTTGGTCAAGCACAACCTCCCCTTCCTAAATCCATGTTGCCTATTTCTGATGACTGCCTTGTCCTTCAGATCTTTCAAAATGCTTTCTCAGAGAATTTTTGTCGTCACCTTCCCAGGAACTGAGATGAGGTTGAGCAGTAGTTCTCTGGATCTTCCTTCTTGCCCTACTTGAAGGCAGGGGTAGTACTTTCTCTATTTCAGTCTCCAGGAACCTCTCCCATTTGCCATGGCTGTTCAGAGATAACTGACAGTGGCCTCGCAGTGACACCAACCAGCTTCCTTGGTAYTGGTTGTGGCCAATTCTGTCTGTCCTGTGGCCTTATATATGTTCAGTTTTTAAAAGTGCTCCCGAAATTTGTCCTTCTCCACCAACAGTAAACCACCCTTGTTGCAGACTTTCCCTCTTCCTGAAACCCAGTTTGAATGGCAAAGAGTAAGACAAAGAAAATGCTGAATACCTCAGCCTTGTCTATGTAGTTTGTCACCTGTTGCTCTGTCCAATTTAGCAGTGGGTTTTCATATTCACTCTTCTTTCTTTTGCTGTTTATATACTTGTGCAATATTTTGTCACATGTCACATCGCCTGACAGATTCAACTCCAGCTCAGATTTTTCTCTCTCTTTTCTAACCTCACTCCTGCATGATCAGACAGCTGGATACTCCACTTGGGACACCTGGCCCTGTTTCCACCCCTTTGTTCCACACATTGTTTTTATGTTCTGGTGCAGTTACAAGCACTGAACACATCCAGCCAGGCCTTCTGACACATTGCTTGGTTTTCTTTTTGTCAGGACAGTCCTTTCTAATGCTTGGAGTGGGTGGCATTTGAATATCAGCCAGCTCTGCTCGACCCCTCTTCTACCCAGGGTCACATTCCATGGGATTCTTCCAAACTTGTGAAGAGGTTGTAAATCTGCTCTTATTACATTCAGGACCATGATCTTGCTTTTTACCCTRCTTGCTTCTCCTAGGATCCCACATTCTACCACTTTATGGATGCTGTAGCCAATGCTGCCTCTGATTTCATGCCCGCACCTAGGTCTGCCCTGCTTGCAAGTATCTGGTCCAGCTGAGCACTTTTCTGTGCCAGTTCCCTGATTACTTGTGGTGAATTACTTAAGAAAGCTTATGGATTGCTTGAGCACTGTTGTATTGCCCTTGCAGCAGATGGAAGTGTGGTTACAGTTCCCCATGAAATTCCCCATAAAGTTCCTTATATTCACAAGCATTAGCCATAAAAAAACTAAGACCTRTGAACATGAAACTTTTTCTGGCTTTTTGAAGAAGGCCTCAGCTTCTTCTTCCTGGTCARGAGGTCTGTAGCAGACCCCCAGACTACTGTTGGTACCGTTGCCTCTATTGGTCTGCCCACTAATCCTGATCTGTAAGCTCTGAGCTGGCTCATCTCCTGTCCCCAGTCAGAGTCCACGCATTCCTGATGTTCTTTTCTATAAAGGACAACTCCCTCTCCTTGCCTCCCAGCCTGTCCTTCCTAAAAGCCCATGTTCCTCATTTGCAACACAGCAGTGACACAAGACCCCCCAGCATGTGTCCCTGAGCCCAGTGAGGTCCAAGCCCTGCACCCAAACCACGCTTTAGACTCCCGATTGCTCCCCATGCTGTGCGTCTGAGAGGAAGGGCAATTTGGAGTGCTGTCAAGGACTAGTTATCTTCACAGCTTGTGCAGTGAGATACTGTCCTCTCAGTTTGTCCCACAAGAGAGGCTGGGGGTTTTGTTGTTTAAATAACTGTTTCCTTTGCCCCTCCTTGTGCATGCATATGTAAAGGCTTGTTAAGTAATACAAAAGTAGTTTTAAAATACAGATTTTTACTTGTGAAAGATCACCAACATGAATGACACAGGAAGTGTCAGGAATATAATTTAAAARCTCTGCCTTTTGAGGTCAACTCAGGACCATTTTCGAAATCATTAATACACTTGCTGGGCATTGTGTTTTCTTTTACCCCTAGGGTTCCCATGGTTGAATGTGTCTGCACTGTGGAATTAGCTTCTGCAAGTGTTTTCCTGTTTGCTAATACCATTTGAAAATGAAAAAGTCACTGAACTTTAAAAAGAAGATCATAAATACAGGCGGGCTTTTATTTTATAAGACAAATACTGGCATTTTGGTGTTTGATTTTCTTCAGTGCTAGCACAGAAACATCTTCTAAAAGGGATTTCCTCCATCTGTTCAAGGACAAAACAAAGCTGTGTTGCTCAGGGATTTATCTAGGATGAAGGTCTCAGGATTAAACCCACTCTCAAAGTAAGCACAGCAAGGACCCCTGTGTCCCAGACCCTGAATTAATCTGGGAAAAGTGGGGAGAGTCTTCTTCCTATTTGTTTTCATTTTTTTCCTATCCATGCTTTCCTCTAAGAAATCATTTAGCCTTGAACRCAAGAGTCATGAGCTAGAGAATAAGACAGAGAATCAATTTCAGCTTCTGTAAGCAGGAGTTAAGAAGTCTGTTTTAAAATTTTCCTGCAAGCAATAAGATTGTGTGTTCTGCTCCTTACAAGAGAGCTTGCTGGGTGCTGGATAACAGATGCTGGCACAGCTGTAGCAGTGATCTTGAGCAGTCACTAACAGTGCCAGAGTGGCCAGAGAGCACTCACACTGCTCACTGCTGCTTGCAGGGGGATTTTGTACCCGTGGGACTGATGACAGAGCCCTACAGAWGCTGGCCCAGCAGTTGTCTCCTCAGCAACCCAGACAGGAGGGCTATAAATAATTATATGGTACAGAAGGACTAATTAACTGTTGAGCATTACCTGTGCTATTTCCCAGTTGTCCTTAGTTTTTCTCTCTTCAACCACATATTTCTTGTAAAGCAAGTTAATTGATGTTCACAAATGAAAATTCAGCTCACTGAGCACCACTAAGTTTAAGTTTTTTTTCTGGGCCCTCAAGGTAGAGTTGGGAAAACTAAAGTRTGAATTTTTATTGTTGCCAGTCAGTGCCTGACAGAAGGATTATGTCAGATAAAAACTTAAGGACAGGTAGTTATGTTTTAAACTCTATCTGATGTTGCCTGTTGTGCTTTTTGGAAACATTTAGTCCTGTAGTTCTTTGGGGTATAGTAAGCAAAAATGCTTTGCAAGACCAGGACTGCTGGCTCCTGTGGAATTACAGGAGGTGTTAGGGAGAGCCAGCTCTCCCCTGAACTATTCCTCAATTGTTTTTGCTGATACTTGGCTAGYATCTCTTGCCCTCATCCTACTTTATGTACTTAAAACCATCACTTGTTTTGATATTCAGATCTGAACTATCAGTATTGCACTTTAGAGTGCACTGTATAGCACCATGTTAGCCATTTGTACACTTTATATCTGAAAATTATGAAATTAATACCAATGTACTTTCATAGCTTTGTAAGGAAAAATGTACACAGGCTTAACCAAGGGAAATAAAGCAAAGCTCCTGAYGCATCCAGGTGGGCTTGTGTGTGTCTTGCTGGCCACTGCTACAGACTGCCCTTTTGCCACAAACTTGGCCAACGGGAAATTTCATCCTTTAACAACTTGTTTGTAACAGTGCCTTTACACACCTTTACATGACCAGAACTGTCATTTTAGCAAATTAATTACCCACTGCTCAGTCAGACTTTGACCCRGAGCATTGGATGCCACTGGCACTCAACCCATGCAGCTGTGCAAAAGCTGTGCTGTGCGGCATGAGCAAGCTGCATGTGGAACACGGAAACATCCCAACAGAAACCAGCCTGAAATTCTAGATAAAATGTAAATGATYGGTGCTTACGTTCTTGCTAAAGAGGCAAGAGTGTTTCTTATGGAGATTGAGACAGCTACTATGTTTTTATTAGAGGTATGTGCTTGGGGAGGCTTTCTTGCTTTCACAGGTATGTATTCCTTGAGGAACTCTGATCTGCACTGGTTTTCTGGTTTTTGTGTTTTTTTTTGTTTTTTTTTGTTTTTTTTAAATGAAAAAGAAGCTATCACCTTTAAATATTTCTTGAAGTATTTCTGTTTTGTGCATGAAAGCACAGATACAATATGGAAAATAGAAATTATAATCTGTGAATCATAGAAGAATGCACGGCATGAGGGTCTTTATGTCAGAGAACAATAAAGTGTCACCAGCAGTCTTCTTTTGACAGAGGCACTTATGATAACTGGTACCTTTTTACATGGGAGTCAGTTTTAAAAGTGATTCTTTTTCCTGTGTGTGAAGAATGAGAGCAGTGAGCCAAGGAATTTCTCTGTTTCCCCTGAGCCCAGGAAAACTCATGCTGCTCTCATGGAGCACTGAGCCATCCTGCAGCTCCATTGTTATTGTGACTTCATTCCAATCTTACAAATGGGAAGAAATTGGAGGTAATAAGCAAAGCTAATCATTTCACCCCAACCCAGGGCCACCGTTTTTTTATGGTTTCACCAGTTAGGTCAGGATTGTTTGTTATTATTGATCTAAACAGTGGTTAAAAGGAAAGAACTGTGGTTTTGCACACGGAAGTTTTCATGGGCTTTTTTGTGCCATTTATCAGTCAATGGGATATTTTTCAGTACTGTTGATTTCATTTGTGTCTGTAGCTCGTGTCACCATAAGAAATATACAGCAGCTTACGCAAGAATTATTTAGACCTGTTGTCTGACACTGACACTCTCAAAGCTAAACGAGCTGATGAAAGGACCAACAAGCTTAGTGATGGATCTTGAGACAGAAGGGATTTCTCTGTTGTTATTTCAGCAGGTGGTATTATCTATTTTGGTATTTCTTCCTTGGGAACTCTCTCCAGGGAAAGATCTGTTGTTTTCAAAGTTATTTATCACATTAAAAAAAAAAAAAAAAAAAAAAAAGAAAAAAAGAAAAAAAGAAAAAAAAGGAGTGCAGTGAAAACAAAGGCTGTGATGGAACAAGACTCCACGAGCAGTGCTCATTATACCCGTCTTTACATTTTAGTTGATCAGTATCAACTCCCTTTAACTGCCTAAACTTTCTTTTTCCATTTCCTATCTGCTACCTGGCYAAACTTAGTCCACAGAAACTTATCTCATCTTTCTGCTCTACTTTTTTTATTGTCACTCTCAAACTTGACAGCTGCATGTTAATCAGCTGGAGAAGGCTGGTCACCTACAGTTCAGGCAAGAAGTACTAAAACCAATTATTGCTCCATGCTCAGTTTTTGGGGCCACACTGAACTTTTCTGCCCTTCTTCAGTTTCAAGCTGATATTTCTGGATTTGCCAACTCTTTCAGGGAAGCTTTCATGCCTGATGAAAAGCCCTCCTGTGGCACACAGTGGGAGAATGCCCGGCTCCTGCACCACCCTCAGCTGCAGTYTCAGTCAGATAGGACCAGGCAGAGGGTAGGGCAGAGCGCTAGTGAGGGGAGATACAGCAGTCAGTGGTTCTGCCAGCCTCCTTCGTAGAAAATTTAACGTCAGGGCTGGTATTTGCCTCATGAAGGARGGTCAGATGGAGGAAAAAAGAGGAGATGATGCCATGTGGAAATAGATGGTGAATGATGTGTCCCCAGACCTTGCTATCCCCCAGACCTTGCTCTCAGCTATTGGATTAATTTTGTTTTCTTTTGACTAAACATGATAAAGAAAAGCTAGGCATTAAGTGAAAACAGTGGGAAAGGCATTTTTCCTTCCTATCTCCATTTGCCTCTGCTCCAGACTCAACCCAGCTGCTTTAGGCAGGACTTGTACCACTCTTGTCTTCTCGAGTTTCACTGCAGCATTTAGTGTTTTGACCAGGCCTTTGGTGGTCCCTCCTGAATCCTCCTGGCAGCACAGAGGAGCTGGAAGAGCACCTGGTTGGCGTCCGTGAACTGGATGTGACCCATGGACTGCTGAGTGAAAGGCCACTCTGTACTTGTTCTTTTATGTAAACAAGAAAACCAGGACTGTTCTTGAATTTACACAAACTAAGGGAGCCCAGCAAATACGTATAATATTATTAAGCAAGATGGGTTGCCCCAACACATTGTGTGGTCTGAGGGAATTCTTCCCTTGCGTGGTGAGATTCATAAATCTGGGGCACTTTCAGTTTCTGTGCTGGAATGTGAGACCTGCTGTGAATTCCGCCTCAGGTTGCAGCTCTGCACACATTGCGCAAGTTTGGCACACCTGTGCTATTAGCAGCAGGCCTTAGTGTTTCCTAACAGAATTCTTTTGTGGTTACAAAGTAAGCTTTGTACATCTGGAAGGAAAACCCAAGCAACTTGGCATTGATTGATCAGATTAATGTCTTGCTGAGTGAGAACATGGCATGTATTGATATGCCCTGGTATCAATACAGCCGTTTCCACAGACAAGTTTCAGCACTTGGTCCCATGTTGTTAGCTGAAGAATGTGGAATCCAAGCTCTGTTCTTGGAGGGAAATTCGCTATCACATCACCTGCACTTAATATTAACACCTGTAAGGCAGCTTATTTAGCACTCATTTCATGAAGCTGCCAGAAAGTGTTCCTCTCATTTGTAACAAACTTGAGGCTATTTGAAGAATTCAGCACCTCAAGGCAGGTCTTTTCAGCTTAACCTAAAGCAAGCCAGTAACTATTTCATTATGCAGAGGGCTCTGATCCTGGTTGACAGGTGAACAAAGCAGGATGCTACAATTCTTGGTAAATRCAGCACAGCCATAGTCTGTAAAAACGAGGTGGTTGCTTAATAGCTGGACTTAGGAGGGGAATTCAAATGCTGAAAAATGTTCTAATGGATCCTACTGTTTTGACACACAATTAAAGCACAATTCTGAGACAGTTTTAAAAAAATCATAGATGGGATTCTAAGTTATAACCATATAACCATAAAAATAATATATAAATACATGCAGAATAAATACAAAGTAAGTTATGCAGTGATGCTTTTCCTGTTTTGCTATGAGAAGATCTGTTAAAGTGGACATTTTCAAGGCTGGAAGGCTGAATGGGGATGGACAGATGGTTATTTCATACAGGTCAGTGGTATCTACTGCCTTACCAGAAGGTGAAATTCCTGTTATTCCTAGAAAAAACAAACATCACATTGTCTTGCATATTAAGATGCACAAAGAAGCTGTCATGTGAACATAAATCTGATTTGTTTCTCTAAAGCAACACATTTTATGACAGGGAACCCATCTCCCACACTGCATAGACCAGACTAACATTACTGGAATAACTTCAGTATGAAAACTCTGGATAACTCCTTTCAGAAGTCTCATTTAGTTGTTATTCCTATGCTGYAGCATTCAACATTTTATTTGGATGATATCACTGTATATGAATTACCAAATTTCCCTCTTCATGTCTTCAAGATGAAATACATGTAGGAACTTCCAAAACTGAACTTCTATCGACTCAAATTGAAGTTCAAATCAATCATACATCTTTGGAATAAGCTGCTTTGTCCACCTTGCTGCATACTTCATGCTATGCTGCCCCCTTCACTGCAGGTGTGGCACCCTGTAAATCCCTGACACTGAGATGTGATCATGGAAGATCACCAGGATTTTTTAAAGCAAAATTGCAAACATTTCTTTTGGATTATATTATGGGAAGTGAGGGTGGTGGGGTGGAGGTTGTGGAGGSGGAATTTCCCATCACACTCTACAGAATACCTTGATCTTGTTTTCTGGCCTTGACTGGCTGGGCCATGTTTACATCTCTGACTAGGTGTGATATTGGCCAACAGATGCCTTTTCTGSCCTCTGTCAACAGCTACCAATTCACATCCACAAGCAAAGGAAACTTCTGCAAGTTACATGTACCAGCCCAAATCTTATTAGTCTATCTGTACTGTCACCCTGAAATTAATGGCTGCATAATGGTCAACCTAGGAAACCTAAGCCTAGGTAGGATTAAATGCAAATCTAGTTTGGCTCAGGGYAGGGTGTGCCTGTAGCCAGCTAGCCATCTGCAGTTTTGCTCATTTTTATTATGGGTTCTGGCACAAGTACTGCAATTTGAGCATTGTAACCAAGCATGGAGCATRTCTGGATGAGGAAAATTGGGTGGTAAAGGTATTTCCCCTGTGCCAGGTGGTTCAGTGTAAGAGAACACATTCTAAGAGAACCTTTACTTTGACCTGTGCATGCACATGCCAGCCCCATTGTGCAAGACCTTTCTGACTGGCCAGATCATATATCCAGAACAGAAGCACTTGCAGAGCCTTCTACACTAGCAGATGCWGTGGCTGTTTTAACAGGGTCAATTTTTAAGGTAGATTTTGTCCATGTGTTTAAATCCAGTGTTTAAATCTTCAATGAATTCCACTTTTCTTATTCCCACTGAAGCCAGGGGAGCTTGAGAAAGGATCATCCCAAAGGAAGTGCTCCTCCARCATCTGAGTTATCATCTCTGTGAACAGTTTATTTTACAGTAAAAAATTACAAAGAAAAATTAAGAATTCAAGCACAGCATTGCCTAGTCAGTTTAAAAAAACTTCTTTAGTTTTAAGTTTAATCTTTACATTTTTAATTTTTTTTTTAAATTAAGTTGAAATTTGAGTTTAATTTGCAGTTATTTGATCTCCTGAATCCTTGAGACATGCTGCACTGGACACAGAGCAAAGTTGCAGGCAAAGCTGCTTTTCTGCTGGGAGTTTGTAATGGAAAGTTTTTTGAAACCTCTACCATCCAGGGAAACTTCACTTTAAAGGAAAAAGAACAAGTGATTTTTCTAAACACATTTCCTCTGGGAAGCTTGTAAAGGACGAATTTACACCTGAACTTGAGAGATCCCTTTAAATAAATAGTGAAATCTTACTAGGAGTTCTCTCAGGAAATCACTGCTTTTAAGGTGTTAACACCTTCAGCCATTAAAATCTTCTTGATAATGTTTCCTATCACAAATTACTCATGTGGTTTTTCCTTGCTTAAGCCACTTCAGAGAATTATAAAATGCCCACCCTGTTGCAGAAACATCAGGTTGACAGAGGAAATTCTCAGGTGAAGCCCTGACCCCACTGAAAATGCCAAATGTTCTGTGCAGTTAAGACAGCCAAGTTTGACTCTTTGAAGAAAAGCACAGACCTTTAAGCTGTCCCCTCTGGTCCTGTGCATAGCTGCAAAGGCTCTGGCAGACACAGTTCCAGGTGGACATACTTCAGGTCTTTTTTTCTTTAAGATATTACAATATAGAAATAGATGAAATACAGTTCTACTTACTCTCAGACGTCTGACTAACTGCAACAGCTAGAAGAGCCAAAGCAGTGACTAATTTCACATCCATTCCTCCTTGGAGCGGCGTGAGCAGTGCCACACAGCAGGCGGTGAGCTGCAGGACTAACACCTGAGCCTACCTGCCGGCTGCTGGGGATGGACCTGCCTTACAGCCCCACCCTGAGCAGCAGCTGGGCGCCACTTCCATCCTCTGTGGCACTATGGACTTCAGCAGCATTCCTCCTCTCACCTGTAGACGTGTGTTTGGTGTTTTGCCAGGTGGGAAAATCAGCTGAATTACACTGTCACGCATAGTGCCCCAAGATGGTCCTGCCTTACAGCCACATYCTCGCTGCCCTCCTCACTGACAAGGCTCTTCGGCAATAGAATTGCCAAGGCTAAGAGTATTTCAGAAATAAGTACCTGCAGGATAAAGGAAGGAGGAAAAATAATCCCTCTGCTATTAGATGTAGTTTCCTGTGCAATGCTGTGGGCCAAATCTTCTGCAGTGTGAACAGGTACAACCTCAAGGAGACGCCAGCCTTGCACAGCTTTTCATTTGACCTGTGCATTTTCAGTCTGTAAATACTGTGTTGTTCTTGTCACATTTGGCTTTCAGCACAGTTTCAAAGCTTCCTAACCCCTAAAAGAGATTCCTGTGTGGTCTCAGTCTAAAGTGAGAGCTGTGGCTGTAAGGGTAGCAAGCAGCTGCTGTACCCCACTGCTGCTGGTCCAGTGCAGGCTGCCTGCTTTCACTTTTCCCAGGGCTGAACTAGAAAAATCAGTTTGGAAATTTCCTAGACTGTTCAACTAAGCTTGTCTCCACTCTGGCTCACTACACCATTCTTACTATTCCTAAATTCCCAAACACGAGGTAGAAGAAACTGCTAACCTCAGGGACTTTAGTCTATACTTAACATGTCCCAACACTGGTTTTGCAATTTCTTCTAATAATAAATTAATAAAGTGCAATCAATGTTTCTGGCTATCAGTGTTTTACTTAATAACTGTTGGTTTCTGCTAGACACTGTTATCTACCAGGATAAGAGACAGGGGCTAATGCAGACTACAACACTTTGAAATGGAAGTCTACTGTTAAAATTAAAAAGAGTAGAAGATAATGATATGGGTTGTTTATGATTTCAGAGAAACAATTTATGTTGTAATCAACATCATTCATGGTGATTCATTGTCACCATTGTATTCCAGTGAAAAATCTGTATCAAAAAGCTAAACCAYGCTGGCCTAAGACAGATCACAACACCTTTGTTAACCTGAACCTATATAAGGTCAAGAGTATTAGCAGCATTAATGTTCTTCAAAGTGGCATGAAGAAGAACAAACTAGATTAAAAGAAATACAGTGAGACAGGTGTTACTGGAGTAACATGTTAAAGAAACATCTGTAGTCAGTAATAGATTTTGTACTCCAGTGACTGGTTCATTCTGCAACCAGTGCAGTTTCCTTGCAAAGTGCTTAGTGTCCTTGCAGATAATTAATTAGTTTGTTCTGCCAAATGCTTCACAAGGGGTGATACAGTTTTAAAGGCCTGATACTGATTACGAGGGTCTCTGCACAGTGAGAGTATRGAGTACAGGGAGCTGTAGCAGCGATGGGGATGGAAGAAGAATCAAAGCATTCTGTGTTTCCTAAGACCTGATCCTGTAYGATGAGTTTTAAGTGTTCCCTGGAGGTAGCTCAGACACACACACCTTCAATGCTCTCAAAAACAGAGTAAAACAGGTATCTGAAGTTATTATTTTCTCTGTTGCTGACAATAAACAACAGCAGACTGAATAAAACTTCTTTCAGCTTGAGCTCAAGTTTAATATCTTGCATTGCTCTGTCTTGTATTTATGGTGTCACTTACAGGTGCAAACTAAAGTAAATGGCCATTTACTTCAACATGAAAGTGCAGCAAGGAAATTAGGATTGTGTCAAATCCGGAACATGCTTTCCACTTTTCGGAGGCTATATGATGTGTCAACAATTAGAAATGCTAAACTTATCGGAACAGGACAAAACGTAAACTAAGGAAACAACGCTGATTTATGAGACTGAGAAATTAAAAATAAAAGTCAGAGAACAATAGCAAATATTATGCTATGGCTCCACATGAATGTGCAGGCAGCCTTCCAATTCACAAAGGAAGAAGGAGTGAGCCAGAAATTCTTTTCCAAGAACTGGGCTGACAGGGTTGACAGTGGCATTAGTTACACGTATAGCTGAAGGAAGGCGAAGAGTTTTATTGACATTTTGGCTTGGATTACATTCAAAGCTCAAATCAAAGCACTAACCTGCAGKCAGAAACTGTTGCAAATGAGAAGCTAGTCATTTTCTATCCTGAGAAACAAAGTAAATCTTGTTTTAATCCTTTCTGAAGTTCTTCCTTTTATTTGTAAATGTAGAGCWGCTACCAAGGCTAAAACTGGCAGATCTTTTAACCTGGATCTTCAGTTTTTGAGCAGAGATTAATGATTGTAACTTCTTGTACTCCAATATGCAATGTAATATAATGCCCTCAGTTTTATACACCTTTCTCCAATTACTCAAGCCAAGGCAAGAGTTTCACCCATTCCTTTCAGTCAAACAATCTTTTGCAACCCAAGTGCTGATTGCTGAGGAAGACTAAGCCCAGTCTGTTAAAGCAGGATAATTCATGTTAAAACAATTTCAGATCTTTGCTGTTGCCAGCAAGACTTAGTTTGATGAGGCTTCTGACACATTCATAGATGCAATAAGCTTATCACAGTACTTTCTCTTACTCTGTAAATGACCGTAATAAATCAACTCTTTTTTTCTTTCAGTTTAAATCATGAATGGACAGATTTCACAATAATCTACAATTATACTTTGAACTTTCTTGCAAAAGTGTGTGTCAAAACCCCAAACTGTGGCCTCAGATATCCCCTAATCTATACTGTAACCGCTGTCCCTGTCCCTACTCATGACATTAAAATGGTCTGCACAACTCTCATTCAGCATTCTGCCTACCAGAAATTTATCTGTGGGTACTTAGAAAAAAACCCAAAAAAACCAAAAACGTCCTGAAGAAAACTTGGAGCTGTGAAAATTATAAGTGGTTAATATGCAATTTTCTGAAATGCAAGCCAGATTCTGTCCTCTGTCCAAGAGGGAGGGTTTGGATACACACACACCATGGGGAAGCAGCCAGTGAGAGCCTCAGTGGGGTCTGTCTTACACTCAGCACCACATCTTACAGTACATAAAACAGGGAAGAAACTTGAGGAAGGACTRGAGCCCCCGTTCCCCTTGCACCAGGTGACTGTCCCTACAGATGATGTTCACATGCTCCTGTGCTCAGCCTCCCCAGGACTCCCTGGTGTGCAGAGGTGCAGCACTTTCAGGATTTGCTGAGAGGTTTGTCCCTGCCTGTGCTGTTGCCTGGCACTTAGGGCATGGACTTGCTGTTCCCTGACTACTAAATTATGATAGAATGGGATGGAAGTTGAGCTCTTTGGAAGGAGATGAGGGKTTTTGCCCTGAAATGATATTTTTGGCTTTACAGACCAAGTAGGCAAAGGTGCTAACTCTGGCTGCAGTGCTAAAATTTCAGAGAAACATCTATTACTTCCAACTGTCCATTTCAGTAAACTGTTTATTATGGGTACTTGGAATTCCACCCACAGATAGACAGACAGACAGGCAGAAATACACTCCCCAAGCATTTTACCTGGAAAAGGCCTTTATGGACTTCAGCTCTTCCTGTGGCAGCATTTACATCATTGATGAAACAGCACAAAGCCCCTACTAGCAAAAGGGATTGTACCTCACAGGGTGATGCTTTGGAGGCACAGGAGCACGAGAGAATGTTGTGGCACTGCTGTGGCTAACAGGACAAGAAGCTGACTGCCATTCAAAAGAGAAATGAAAATCTCTCTGAAGTGAGAACTGTGAGAAAACGGAGGCTGTTACCAGTTCTGTGATTCTGTTCCTCTCTGAAAGCATGGAACAGACTGAAGGGAAGACGGCCTTGAAAATGTTGCAGACTAAAGAGGCAGACACCCAGAAATAATTACTGAAGAAGCAAGGAGTACCATTCCATAGAATGCTATGTTAGCATCMTGTTGCAGATGCTGATCCATTCTGGGAAGTCAGCCCTGAGCTCCCTGAGAGCCTCAGGATTCACCTCAAAAACTTCCTCCTAATCTGCCAAAATGACATTATGGCTGGTGAACTGGAAATCTTGACTTCCAATGGCATGTTCCTGTCATCTGAGATAGCCAAATTATAACCCTTTCCATACATTCAGTAGGACATTTTAGGCTGACACACTATTAAACAGCATTAGAAGGACCTAATTCATTGAGGCAGTGACCAAAGGGACAGACTGAACACCTTCCCCTTCCCAATCTCTGTTTTTACGAAACTTAACCCTGATTTGGATGACCACAAGGTGGGTGCTGAAGAGAAAGAATGGCAGATGTTTTCTATGGWTGATTGGCTCAGGAGAAAATCTGATGCTGAGATGCACAAGCAGAAGATAAGTACATTGGAATTTGTGGTTTTGAATAGATCAAAGACCAGTAACTCTGCATGCTTCCTTACTATTAAAAAATAAATATATATTMTTGACTACACAGCTTAGTAATTCTTGAAACCAAGTAAAAAATGTGWCATTTCTGTCAGTGTCCACACAGCCTCCTTCCAGCTCTACCTCCCAAGGGATTTTGCCCTTTGTCATGACAAAGCTGAGTGCCTAAGACCAGGTTCCCCTAAGTTTTGGATATGGTTTTTTTGTCCTAGGCCTTAGCTGACTTTTTGAATGAGGAAGTAAGTCTGTGATTTTTGTTCCAAAAGGCAAAAACCAAATTGGGGATTGGATAAAATGTCTAGGCACAAACATGTGAAAGCTCATGCCCTGCAGAGGCAGTATCTGACTGCACAGATCTGTGGTCTGGATCAGCAGCATGTTCTCTTTCTAACCTGCTTCTCCTCAATCCTATAAAACTTGAAGCTGGCTTTCCAGACAGGATATATCCAAGCATTTATTCTAATCACCTTCTTTTAAAATCCAACGTTGTATGCACAGGATGATAACAAGAAGTG